GCGGTTGGCACCCGTACGGTGCGAAAGAAGTTCAACACGCGTACGTACGTGCGTGCGTACAATAAAACGTGCTTGGAACTGAAGGCACAGGCAGGCAGACAGCAGCAGCAGCAACAGCAGCTCGCCGCTGTTGCTGCTGCTGCCGCCGCTGCCTGCAAGCGCCGCCACCGTCCACAGAGTCACTTGGCCGATGCTTCCACAGCGGTTGTCGAGATCCAAACTTCTCTACCCCCACCGGCACGCGTGATCATCGACGAACTGTGATGCCCGCATGTACCCTGCTGTCGCGGTGGCCAGGGGTGGTGGGTGGTGGGCGGTGCTCAGGAACCCGCTCCGCTCTTTCAACTTCCACGATGCAACGGGCCTCCGGGACTCTTGGACGATCACCGCACCGGGCAGCGGCGGCGGCGGCAACTTCGCATCGAATGCGGAGCGTGATTCCTCGGCACGTGACAGCCCCTGCGCTTTGTTTGCAGCGCCACGCCACGCCCCGCCCCCCTCCAGAGGGGGCGGGGCGTGGGGGTCGCTTCGTGACTGCTTCGTGACGTCATTTTATTGAAGGGGTCCAACCCCGTCACGAGCTCACCAACCTTGCACTGTGGCTCTTGAAAGATTTCATTGATTTTCTTTTGTTCTTTTGCCGAATTCCAACAAAAACAAATGAATATACAAATAAAAACAAATATATGTATCGCGCCATTTGGTTGTTTGCCGAGGGCATGGCCGTGCCTCCCTCGGCCACGACGATGAGCAGTCGTAGACCTGTTAAATGTATTCGATGTCAGCGTTTTCGGTTCACGCGTTCGCAAAGTAACGTCGAACACGATTGCCTTCGGACGCGCGCGCGAGGCGTACGATGTGCCTTCCCCGTGGTTGTAGCTAGCGGTGTGCCACCGGTCAGTTTAACGAGTAGCAGCAGTAGGGCTTTGCGACAAATATCATCCATAATAAAGGGTTTGTTTTATCATCGATCGCGTAAATATGAACGTGTCGTCAAACGCGCCACTTCAACACACCGGTGGTGCTGAACCAGTGAACTAATTTGCATGTTTTGTTCACGCGACAAACCTCACTCACTGGCTGTGTCGGGTGGTGGCGGGTTTAACGACACATCCATGGTTACGTGATCGTTACTGCTAGGCCATGTGTGTACGCGATTGCTCCAGATTCACCCAATAATGCCCACGAATACATTCACGGTGGTGGCGAACTCCATCAACTGACCCATAGAGATACACAGAGAAACATTAAAGACAAGCCCCCGTGAGATTGTGGTCATGCAAACCACACTATAGACCGTATGGTAAACCCATATAGACACAAAGAGATACATAGAGATACATGGATACCCATAGAGACCCATAGACATACATGGATACCCATAGATATACATGGATACCCATAGAGATACATAGAGACCCAAAGAGATACATATAGACGCATGGAAGACAATTCACAGTCGTGTGTTTGTGGCCATGCCACCCACACTACTGACCGCACAGTGGACTCACTGTGGAGGAGGAGGAACAGCGACACGACACGAAGTCTCTCTGAAGAAGCCCTCTCGTCGTGGCCAGTAGCAGACCTCAACATTGGCATTGAACTCCTGAACGGTGCCTTGCTGCTGCTGCCATCATCACGCGCAAGCATAGACTAGGAGCCCTTTTATCTCCAGCAGCCTCCACTCAGACGCACAGATGCAAAGACAAAGATCCCCCGCATAGTCTTCACAGACTGTTGGGGCAAGTGCTGTTAGCAAGTCGCACCTATGAAGGCCGGCACGGCACACAAGGGGGTGGGTGGCCAGCACCACGCCCGGCCGCCTTTGTCTCCATAGTGGCGACGCGTACAAATCGCACTAGGTACACATTTGAGGCCGAGTCGACCTACGGGAGACCGAGTACCGGTTCAGATAACCGTAACCGTTGGTGGCCGTGAGGGGGAATCGAACTCGGGTCGCCGGGTTCATTGCACTACCGCTCCCCGCACGCACAGATAAACACACACACAGAGAGACAACCAATACGTGTAACCCACAGACACACGCACAGATAAACACACACACACACAGACAGCCATACGTGTAACCCACAGACACACGCACAGATAAACACACAAACACAGAGACAACCAATACGTGTAACCCACAGACACAGACACACGCACAGATAAACACACACAGACAGCCATACGTGTAACCCACAGACACACGCACAGATAAACACACACACACAGATAGCCATACGTGTAACCCACAGACACACGCACAGATAAACACACAAACACAGACAGCCATACGTGTAACCCACAGACACACGCACAGATAAACACACACAGACAGCCATACGTGTAACAACAACAACCGCCATTCGCCACTAAGTGGCGGTGACGTCACCACGACGCTTGTGCCAGGCCATGTGCACCTTGAGGCCATTTGAAGTGTCGAACGTCCGCAGGCAGGAGGTCACGGGGCAGACCCAGGTGCCACGGGTCGACTGACTGAGTTGACTGGCTGGTGCACCAACTGTGCCCTCTACTATGCTAACCTGCTGTGCTTTAGCCACCCGGCGCTCCTCTCGTTGTTGTGAGCGTCGCTCCTCTGCCCTCCGTTGTTGTTGGAGGGCGACTGCCTCCAACTATCCAATAGCGTCCTTCACGAGCCTCCTCCACAGAGGCCGATCTTGACACCGCTGGTACCAGTCATCGGCAAGTCCACTCAGCTCCACGTCCTCCTGTACCACATCACTCCATCTCTTCTCTAGCCCGTGCCACGCCCGCTTAGCCCCCTCGATCCGGCTGAACAAAAGCTGTTTCGGCATGCGTTGGCTGGGCAGCGGGCTACATGACCCAGCCAACGCAGCCTTGCCTGCCGGAGGAGCTCACCGAAGGGACCTTGCCCAGATCTTTCAAGGATTTGTGAGCTCCTCACACAATCCAGCCTGGTCAAACCCAGGATGGATCGTAGGCAGGCCAGCCTAAATGTTTCCAACCGGCGAAGATGCTCCATTAAGGGGGTCCACGTTTCGCAAGTGTAGCCATACGTGTAACCCACAGACACACGCACAGATAAACACGCACACAGAGACAGCCATACGTGTGACCCACAGACACAGGCACACGCACAGATAAACAAAGATAAAGATCCCCCGTATAGCCTTAACAGACTGTAGGGGCAAGTGCTGTTAGCGAGCACCTATGAAGGCCGGAACGGTACACGAGGGGGTGGGTGGCCAGCACCACGCCCGACCGCCTTTGTCTCCCTAGTGGCAATGTTTACACACCGCACCAGGTACTCATTTGAGGCTGAGTCGACCTAGGGGAGGCCCGGGACCGCTTCAGATAATCATCACTGGTGTTGGCCGTAACTTGGAATCGAACTGGGGTCGCCGGGTCCGTATCTCGGCGCGCTAACCGCTACAGTACACGACCGCTCCCAACTCGAGGCACACAACGACCTCATACACACAGACAGACGTTCATACAGACACACACAGCAACGCACGCTACAATGTCACACGAGGGACACGCATAGGCAAAGCTCCCACGCATAGACTGTTGGGGCAAGTGCTGATAGCGAGCGTCAGAACCGCGAATATTGCGACCTCTAAAATAGCTGCGGTTTTTTTTTTTGCCGAAGTGAACGCGTGAGCTAAGCTGCATGTCGTTTTTTCAAACATTATCCCTTCCTCGGCGTGTGGGTAATCGGCAAGGAAGTTCCCAAGTCACGTGAACCTGTCACTTGAGGAGCGCGAGACACGTTCATTCACTCTGCTCCCCACTCCGGGAGATTAGCGGAGGCAAAAACAAATACATAAAATTCAGAATATAGACTTTGACCAATCATTATAGTCAACACCACCACTGCCGCCGCCAGATATATGTATCATCGCAATCGTCACCAGCACTAGCAGATATCGTCGTGGTCATTATAATTGTTATCATCACCACCACCACCACTAACATAATTGATATGCCCAACTTTATCATCACTGCCATCATTGCGATCACCACTAAACACCACTGCCACAATTACCGCCAACGCAACCATCATCATGAACGTTACAATGGTCACCAAAGACAGAGACCCCCGTATAGCCCTCACAGACGATAGGGGCAAGTGCTGCCAGTAGCGAGTAGCGCCTATAAGGGCCGACACGCCACGTCCGGAGGCGGGTGGCCAGCACCACGCCCGGCCGCCTTTGTCTCCCCAAGTGGCGATGTTTTTACACACCGCAACAGGTACTTATTTGAGGCTGAGTCGACCCAGGGGAAGCACAGAAACCCGTTCATAAAATCGCCACTTGGTGTTGGCGGTGAAGGGGAATCGAAGACTCGGATCGCCGGGTTCGCAGCACGGCGCGCTAACCACTGCACCACCGCTCCCCACATAACGGCCGCCACCGCCATCACGTGTTGCATCACCGCCGTCACGAACTACCTCTCAGCACCTGCAAACAATGACCCCGTATAGCCTTTAACAGACTGTTGGGGCGAGTGCTGTTAGCGAGCACCAGCACCATCACCAGCACTACCAAAAACAAAGATCCCCCGTATAGCCTTTAACAGACTGTTGGGGCGAGTGCTGTTAGCGAGCACCACCACCAGCACCACCACCAGCACTATCAAAAACAAAGATCCCCCGTATAGCCTTTAACAGACTGTTGGGGCGAGTGCTGTTAGCGAGCACCTATGAAGGCCGGCACGGCACACGAGGGGGTGGGTGCCCAGCACCACGCCCGGCCGCCTTTGTCTCCCCCAGTGGCGATGTTTTTACACACCGCACCAGGTACTTATTTGAGGCTGAGTCGACCCAGGGGAGGCCCATGACCGGTTTACATAATCGTCACGGGTGATGGCCGTGAGCGAGACTCGAAGTCGTGTCGCCGGGTTCTCAGCGCAGCGCGCTAACCGCTCCACGACCGCTCCCCACCCCCCTGCCACAACCGAGCACCACTCGGTCTGTCGCCCCCTGCGTGCGTGGGGAGTGTGCGATGCCTCACCGGGGTTGAAGAGCACGATGCCCTTGAGGTAGGCGTACTCCTTGGGGTCGATGTCGAGCCGCCTGCACTTGTCCAAGAAGCTCTGCACCTTGTGGATGGCGTCCGCCTGCAGGATCGCGGGAGACGATCGCCCCGGGCTCCCGGCCGCTCCTGCGCGCTGTCTCAGCGAGCCGCCTCCGATGATGATGGGCTGAGGGCTGCTGCCGCTGCTGCTGCCGCTACTGCTGCTGCTGCTGTTGTTGTTGTTGTTCCCGGGCGTCGCTGTGTTGGTGATGAGCAGAGGGCTCCTGCTGTTGCTGTTCGTCTGCGGGCTAACACAGCTGCTGCTGCTGTTGTTGGTGGTGGCGAGTGCCGGGCTTGTCGTGTCCGTGTGGGGCAGAGGGGTCGTGCTTTTGGCCATGGGCTGAGGACTGTCGCTGTTGCGACTGCTGCTGCTGCTGCTGCTTGTGACATCTTGAGGGCTTCTGCTGCGGCACCTGCTGCGTCTGAAGATGTCGTTGGTGTCGCTGCTGCTGATGGTGGTGGTGGTGTTGCTGGTGATGAGGGTGGTGGTGTTGCTGGCGACGAGGGTGGTGGTGTTGCTGGTCGTGCTGGTGATGGTGCCGCTGTGGGGCGAGTCGCTGCTGTGGCGGCTGGGACTCTTGGAAGGGAGCGGGGAGGAGGAGGAGGACGAGGAGGAGGAGGAGCGGGGCGAGGACGCGAGGCAGGTCTGGGCACCACGACGATGTGCCTGCTGCCTGCCGGAGCGGCAACAGCGTTGGTCGTCCCCACCTCTCTGCACCGCCGTCATCGACGCCGTCAATAAGTTCGCCCTCTTGAGATCGTCATCATCATCATCGTTGTTGTTGTTGTTGTCATCATTGTTGTTGTTGTTGTCATCACCGTCAACGTGTTCCACCGCAATGGCACTGCCCTGAACGCCTCCGTTACCACCACCACAATCGACAGCAGTGCCACCACAGCTGCTGTTCATGTTGTCTCCTGTACAGCTCTCGGTACCACCACCACCACTACCAGCACCACAACCACCGCCAGCACCACCACCACAACCACCACCACCACAACCAGCACCACCAGCACCACCACCACCACCAGCACCACCGTCTTCAACGTCGGGCTCGCTGAGGAGCCGTCGAAGGAGGCTCGGCTCGGGCTCTGCGCTCACCTCCACGGGCAGTCGCTCCTGCGCCAGGCCGAGCAGGAAGAGGGGCGCCCAGGCGTGCCGGGCGAGCAGGAGGCGGTCGCGGCGCGGCAGCTGCCAGAAGGAGGGCAGCGTCTTGACGAAGCGGAGCGTCTTGGCGAGCACCGCCCAGGCCGCCTGGCGGGTCGAGTGCGGCGGGGAGCGCAGCACGAGGCGACGCCGCGGCACGCAGGCGCAGCTCGAGGGCAGCGGCACCAGCGGCTCCGCCTCCTCGACATCCTGGAGCTGCTGCTGCTGTTGCTGCTGCTGCAGCTGCTGCTGCTGGTTCTGCTGCAGCTGCTGTTGCTGCTGGTTCTGCTGCTGCTGATAGTGGTGTTGATGATGATGGTGGTGGTGGCGCTTCTGTTGCTGAAGTCCAACTTCCTCCTCCTCTTGCCGCTGCCGCTGCTGTGGCTGATGATCAAGATGTTGATCGTTCAGATGAACCTTCTGCACCTGCAGCTGGTAGTACTGCTGCTGTTGCTGCTGCTGCTGCTGCTGAACGTGCGTGTCCTGAACTTGAATCTGCACCTGCTGCTGATATTTCTGCTCAACATGAACCTTCTCACTCTGAGTATTTGGCTCCAACTCAGTCTTTTGTACGCGAAGGTTATACGGCTGCTGCGGCTGCTGCTGCTGCTGTTGCTGCTGCTGCTGCTCAATTTGAAGCCTCTGCAGGTGGATCTGCTGCTGCAGCTGCATCATCTGCTGATGGTGCTGCTGCTGCTGCTGCTGCAGGTGGAAGGGCCACGTGTATGGCGCTGGCCGCGAGCGCCCTCCGCTCCCCGCGCGCTTCTCGCTCTGCAGCAGGCGGAAGAGGATTGGGCTCCGACGCGTCTCCTGCTGCTGCTGCTGTTGATGTTGTTGTTGATGATGTTGCTGCTGCTGTTGTTGTTGTTGTTGCAGCCGAGCCGGCGTGGCTGACACGGCCCGTGGACAAGCCATGTCCTGCTGGTGCTGGAGCAGACCCACGAATACTCCTGCTGCTGATGATGCTGCTGCTGATGATAATGATGGAACTCCAGCTGCTGCTGATGATAATGCTGCTAAAGATGATGATGATGATGTTGACGTCAAGTATAATGATGTGAACGGTGATGTTTCAGATGATTCAGAAGCTGCTGTTGCTGGCGATGATGATGATGATGGTGAGGTTGATGATGATTTTCTGGGTCTTTCGCAACCACCACCAACTCCACCACTCGCTTCAACGTCTCCTCCCGTGGCACAGCCAATGAAGCTCCGCTCGTCGTTCATGCGGGAGGCGCTCCGCGTGAGTGACACCGCCTCTCGGGCGCAGGAGGTCAGTGCGGGAGGCGCTCGAGTTCCATCCGCCGCGGGCTCAGGGTGACGAGGCCTGGAAGACGACGACGAGGTGGAGGGGGCTGCGATGATGATGGTGGACACACGGTCGGCCCAGAACGTGTCCACGAGGAGAGCCAGGGCTGTCGTCTTGGCACACTCCGCGCGCGTGGCCCAAGCCAGAAGATGCCGCCCGATCCTCCCACCCCCCGGTGTAGCCTCAACAGACTGTCGGGGCAAGTGCTTGCGAGCGAGTAGCGCCCTACGAAGGACTGCAGGCCTCCACGCGAGGGGAGTCCAGGCGCACACACAGGCACAGGCTTGTTGTGTTCAACTGCAGCCCCACGCAAGGGGAGTATCAGCTGCGTTGGGCTGTCTCTGGGCGCGTGTGTGGCTCTGTGCAGCTTGCGAGTGTCTCTCTCTCTGTCTCTCTCTCTCTGGCCCGCGGCGTCTTATACCGGAGAGGGACCTTGACCGCTCCGCGGCCCCACCCCCTCCCCCCGCCACCCCCTCACGCCCCTCGCCCCCCTCGTCCACACACAGAGACCCCCCCCCCCCGCTTCCTCTCGGCCCCTCCCAGCCCACCTCGCCCGAGCCCCCGCGGCCCGGGCCATCAATCGGCTCGCTGACAGAGAGGGGCGGGGGGGCGCGCCGCTCTCCCTCCCACCTCACAGCAACGGCTCGCGCGCGCTCGATTGCCTATACAGCACACAGCATATACATGTATAGCACACACACACCTATACATCATATACATGTACAGTACACACAACTATACAGAATATACATGTATAGCACACACACAACTATACATCATATACATGTATAGCACACAACTATACAGCATATACATGTATAGCACACACACAACTATACAGCATATACATGTATAGCACACACACAACTATACAGCATATACATGTATAGCACACACACAACTATACAGCATATACATGTATAGCACACACACCTATACATCATATACATGTATAGCACACACACAACTATACAGCATATACATGTATAGCACACACACAACTATACATCATATACATGTATAGCACACACACAACTATACAGCATATACATGTATAGCACACACACAACTATACAGCATATACATGTATAGTACACACACAACTATACAGCATATACATGTATAGCACACACACAACTATACAGCATATACATGTATAGCACACAACTATACAGCATATACATGTATAGCACACACACAACTATACAGCATATACATGTATAGCACACACACCTATACATCATATACATGTATAGTACACACACACCTATACAGCATATACATGTATAGTACACACAACTATACAGCATATACATGTATAGCACAGACAACTATACATCATATACATGTATAGTACACACATAACTATACAGCATATACATGTATAGCACACACACAACTATACATCATATACATGTATAGCACACACAACTATACATCATATACATGTATAGCACACAACTATACAGCATATACATGTATAGCACACACACAACTATACAGCATATACATGTATAGTACACACACACCTATACATCATATACATGTATAGCACGCACACAACTATACAGCATATACATGTATAGCACACACGCAACTATACATCATATACATGTATAGCACACACAACTATACATCATATACATGTATAGCACACACACAACTATACAGCATATACATGTATAGCACACACACAACTATACAGCATATACATGTATAGCACACACACAACTATACAGCATATACATGTATAGTACACACACACCTATACATCATATACATGTATAGTACACACACAACTATACAGCATATACATGTATAGTACACACACCTATACATCATATACATGTATAGCACACGCAACTATACATCATATACATGCATAGCACACACACAAATATACAGAATATACATGTATAGTACACACACAACTATACAGCATATACATGTATAGCACACACAACTATACATCATATACATGTATAGTACACACAACTATACAGCATATACATGTATAGCACACACAACTATACAGCATATACATGTATAGCACACACAATATTACATCATATACATGTATAGTACACACAACCATACAGCATATACATGTATAGCACACACACAACTATACAGCATATACATGTATAGCACACACAACTGTACAGCATATATATGTATAACACACACAACCATACAGCATATACATGTATAGCACACACACAACTATACAGCATATACATGTATAGCACACACAACCACACAGCATATACATGTATAGCACACACACAACTATACAGCATATACATGTATAGCGCACACAACTATACATCATATACATGATTAGTACACACACAACCATACAGAATATACATGTATAGCACACACACAACTATACAGCATATACATGTATAGCACACACACACCTATACAGCATATACATGTATAGCACACACACAACCACACAGCATATACATGTATAGCACACACACAACTATACAGCATATACATGTATAGCAGACACACCACCAAACAGCATATACATGTATAGCACACACACCTATACATCATATACATGTACAGTACACACAACTATACAGAATATACATGTATAGTACACACACAACTATACAGCATATACATGTATAGTACACACACCTATACAGCATATACCTGTATAGCACACACAACAATACAGCATATACATGTATAACACACACTCAACCATACAGCATATACATGTATAGCACACACACAACTATACAGCATATACATGTATGGCACACACACAACTATACAGCATAGACATGTATAGCACACACACAACGATACAGCATATACATGTATAGCACACATATGCACAACCATACAGCATATACATGTATAGCACACACACAAACATACAGCATATACATGTATATCACACACAACTATACAGCATATACATGTATAGCACACACACAACCAAACATCATATACATGTATAGCACACACATAACTATACAGCATATACATGTATAGCACACACACAACGCTACAGCATATACATGTATAGCACACATACAACTACACAGCATACACATGTATAACACACACAACCTAACAGCATATATATGTAGAGCACACACACACAACCATACAAAATATACATGTTTAGGACATACACACAACCGTACAGCATATACATGTACAGCCCACACAAAACCATACATCATATACATGTATAGCACACACAACCATACAGCATATACATGTTTAGCACACAAACACACAAATATACAGCATAAACATGTATAGCACACACAACTATACAGCATATACATGTATAGTACACACACAACTATACAACATATACATGTATAGCACACACACAATATACAGCATATACATGAATAGCACACACAACTATACAGCATATACATGTATAGCACACGCAACTATACAGCATATATATGTAGCACACAAACACAACCATACAGCATATACATGTATAGCACACACACACAACTATACAGCATATACATGTATAGGAGACACACACAACCGAACAGCATATACATGTATAGCACACACACAACTACACATCATATACATGTATAACACACAAACAACTATACAGCATATGCATGTATAGCACACACACAACCATACAACATATACATGTATTGCACACACACAACTATACAGCATATATATGTATAGCACACAAACATAACCATACAGCATATACATGTATAGCACAAACACAACCATACAGCATATACATGTATAGCACACACAACCATACAGCATATACATGTATAGCACACATACACACCACCATACAGCATATACATGTATAGCACAAAACACACATAACCATACAGCATATACATGTATAGCACACACAACTATACAGCATATACATGCATAGCACATATACACACAACCATACAGCATATACATGTATAGCACACACACAACTATACAGCATATACATGTATAGCACACACACAAAACCATAGAGCATATACATGTATAGCACACACACCACCATACATCATATGCATGTATAGCACACAACTATACAGCTTATACATGTATAGCACACACAACTATACAGCATATAAATGTATAGCACACACACAACTATACATCATATACATGTATAGCACACACACAACTATACAGCATATACATGTATAGCACACACACAACTATACAGCATATACATGTATAGCACACACACAACTATACAGCATATACATGTATAGCACACACACAACTATACAGCTTATACATGTATAGTACACACACAACTATACAGCATATGCATGTACAGCACACACACAACCATAGAGCATATACATGTATAGCACCCACACAACTATACAGCATATAGATGTATAGCACACACACACAACCATACAGCATATATATGTATAGCACACACACACAACCATACAGCATATACATGTATAGCACACATACACACAACCATACAGCATATACATGTATAGCACACATCACACACAACCATACAGCATATACATGTATAGCACACACACAACCATACATCATATACATGTATAGCACACACACCTATACAGCATATACATGTATAGCACACACACAACTATACAGCATATACATGTATAGCACACACACCTATACATCATATACATGTATAGCACACACACAACTATACAGCATATACATGTATAGCACACACACAACTATACAGCATATACATGTATAGCACACACACAACTATACAGCATATACATGTATAGCACACACACCTATACATCATATACATGTATAGCACACACACAACTATACAGCATATACATGTATAGCACACACACAACTATACATCATATACATGTATAGCACACACACAACTATACAGCATATACATGTATAGCACACACACAACTATACAGCATATACATGTATAGTACACACACAACTATACAGCATATACATGTATAGCACACACACAACTATACAGCATATACATGTATAGCACACACACACAACTATACAGCATATACATGTATAGCACACACACAACTATACAGCATATACATGTATAGCACACACACCTATACATCATATACATGTATAGTACACACACACCTATACAGCATATACATGTATAGTACACACAACTATACAGCATATACATGTATAGCACAGACAACTATACATCATATACATGTATAGTACACACATAACTATACAGCATATACATGTATAGCACACACACAACTATACATCATATACATGTATAGCACACACAACTATACATCATATACATGTATAGCACACAACTATACAGCATATACATGTATAGCACACACACAACTATACAGCATATACATGTATAGTACACACACACCTATACATCATATACATGTATAGCACGCACACAACTATACAGCATATACATGTATAGCACACACGCAAC